TATCGGCTTGCAGGGATGTGTAGTTTTCCTTAACATAGATATCAGGCCTGTGTGAAGCTTTGTCGGCTGTTTCATTTCAACGCTGTTTTGACTCGTTTTGAGTTCGAAAGTGAAATCGAAATGAAACGAAGGGCTTCAAAATAGCTTTGAAATTAAATGAGGCCAGTCAAAATGTTTCAAAACTTTCGAAATGTTTTGAATTTCAAAGCAGCCCGGTGATGGGAGGCAGGGGTCCCCGCACAAGCTGATTTGCCCTGGGCTCCGCACCAAAGCCGATTGGAGAAGGGTATGGGGCCCAGGGCAAATCAACTCGTGCAGGGACCCGCCCCCACCCCAGGAAATGGAACAGTGCTTTCAAATCTAAACAAAACTTGAAACGAAACACTGTTCTGTCAAAACATCGAAATGGAAGTCGAAGCGGAATGATGCTGTTTTGCACGGCCCTAATAGATATCCAGCCTCTCTAGCTGTTCTTTCACCAGCCCTACATTGACTGTTGGTAGGTGATCATCCCTGCTGTGACTATTCCGCGTTATATTTGCATTTGACAGGCAATCACTTTTAGACTGATAACATGCAGAGACTTGAACTTTTTGCTTGGACTTGCAAACCAGCTCTCTTGGAGAAACGCTAGGTCATGTTTCACTTGCTTAGCATGGCAGTTAAATATGGACTTTGCAGCACTCAGCAGAGAAAGTTCTAGTTCCTAACTTCTTTTTGTAGTTTACAATAATGAGAATAATTTAATCAGGTACCTGTTTTGAACCTGCCTAATACTGGATGGGGGCTTGCTTTTAAATAACCTGTATGATATAGAGTCATCAGGAGGTCCAAAGACATCTCAGCCAGAAAAACACAAGCAGTATCATTGCTACTCACTACCTCTTATCTTTTGTGCATGGAATCAATGTGAGCCATATGGATCTGTGCTTTCCCTGGAGGTATCAGCTGGAGATATCAATAAGGAAGACTAGAACATCTGCTGTAAAGGTGGCTTCTCAAACCGAGGGACATGGGCCCAGAGGCACCCTGATGTACTCTCTGGCTATGCTGTCTCCTGAACCCTTTATCTGCAGACTGAAGGGAAAGGGAGCAGGTGAGGGAGCAAGTGACTGGGTTCTGCAGTCAGGTGCATGGCTGCTGGTGCATCCTATAAGGACTTTCAGCATGCTTTTCCATTTGGAGCATGATTCTTCTGATGTTATGTCTTTAATGAATCCAGAATAGGAAGAGCTCTTTGCCTCTACAGCCCACTATTCCAACTCTGCCCACTTCCCCTCCTCTATAGGGAAGGGGAGACTAAGGCAACCATGCCCAGTTTGGGCTGTAAGAAGGATACTACACTCTGCCAACAGAACTAAGGAAGAAGGTGAAGCAACAGACACAGCCTGCTTTTCCTGAAGCCTCCAGGGGCACTCACCACTGCAAATGCCTCAGAAGCAGAAAGGGAACTATGGTGAAAACAGTCTCTCTAGAAGGCAAATGCTGCCTCAAGACATAGCAGCAAAATATTAGGCCCAAATTTCAATCAGAAATCTGAAGTCGGGTTTGGATTTTTTCTTAAAAGAGCTCTGCAGCAAAGAGGTTTGGCTGAGCAGCTGACCACTGAGGAGGAAAAGAAAACTGAAAGGAATTTCAGGGAGCATGGGATTCCCCCAGGTGAGAACTAGGGCTGGTTCAATGTCCAAGCTGCAAGCAAGCTAAAAGTTGCCATTGTAACAGAACTGCAGATTTGGAATTAAATTAATGGCAAGAGTCCCCCGCAGTCCCCCAGCCCAATTCTGTTTCCTAACTGCAACATGGAATACCTGCAGAATGAAAATTAAGCATGTCTCATTGCTGATTTCAAAGTGTAGGTTAAAACACATTTAACTGGTAATAGTATGAGGCTGATATAAGTTCCTTTATGGCTTCATTTTGAAGACTCAGGATGAGTTATTGTGAAGTGTTCTTACATTGATCTTACTGTATGAGGAGCTATATACATTTGATGTGACACAGTGGAACAGAAATGAACAACAGTGCCTATATAATCTGATGCTATTATTCCCCTTATCACAGGTAACATTATTCTTATAGAGATTCATATTTTGAGGGAGTCACTTTCCAAGTGAGTCACTGTGCAACAACTGTACAATAATATACTTTGTTTTGTAACAAATATGCAATTAACTTTGATTATTCAGTAAGTATGCATCAATTTTTTTTACGTAACTCTGTAATTTTTATTTTCTAACTGTTCCTTATCAAAGTCAGCAGGCCAAAATGGGCCTAACAGATGTTGCACTGTGTGTCTAAGAACTTTCTATGTGGACTTAGTCAGTGCAGGTAATGTCTGCCTTTAGAGGCAGTAAATTATTAAAAAGTAAGTACTTACAAACAACTACTTATTCAAGTAGAATGCTTTGCAGTTCTCATATTGATTTATTTAATATTAATTTTTTTGATCTCATGATTAAAAAGTTGTCACAACCCAAAGTTGTGATTTTTTGTTTGTGTGCGCTTCGGCACTGCTAAATTATTTTCCCGCTAAATTGCAGCTTCTTTGCACGGTGGAATTTTCTGCTGCAGAGGAAACCCCCGGTGCAAGGGAGATTTTCCCGCCAATCTGTAGCTTTCTTTGCATGGTGCATTTCTTTTGCATCTAGGAAATGCTCGGTGCAAAGAGTTCCCGCCATTTGTATTCTAATTTGTGCCACATTATTGGCCGATTCTAATACATGCACACGTGGCAGCTAGCGATTGGCTTGCTAGCCGTATAAAGAGCTTGGGTGGTTTCCGCCCAAGTTGGAGAGAGAGCAATTGGAGTTTGAGAGGGAGAGCGTGAAGATCTCTAAGCGCTGCGGATCCTTACGGACCCAACGCTTTTCTTAAAAGGCAATAGAGGCCTGATAACCGAACCCGCGGAGCTTCAACAACTCCGGGGAAAAGAACGAACAGCCTCTAGCCTCTCCCCGTCACCGATAAATTCCTAGACGTATCCCTTCCTGTACGAGAAACTACCGAACCCGTGGAGTTTCAATAACTCTGGGGCAAAGAAACTACCGAACCCGCGGAGCTTCAATAACTCCGGGGCAAAGAAACTACCGAACCCGCGGAACTTCAATAACTCCGGGGCAAAGAATGAATTGTCGTAGTCCTCTAACGAGGATTTAAGCGGAGCTGAACCTGGAAACTGTCCAGCCTACACCACGACCATCTTTGGTGTAAGTAAACAATCTTTAAATCAACCATTACGCGTCTGTGACTAATTCTAGCTTGCCACCGGTCCTCTCTGACCCCGCGTGCCTGGGCTGCTGGCCACAGCCCGCGTGCGCAAAGACGGGCCCGGCTCGCCCCCGGCTTGCACATGGCAACAAGGATGGGATCAGGAGAGAACTCACACATGGCGACCCAGGTGGGATTGGGAGAGGGCCCGCACAAAAGTATGTTTAGTAAGTTTTATAAATTCTTTCATTTCCAAATATATTTTCCAACAAATATGTCTTATTTGAACTGATGTGTAAATGTGTGCAGGACTGGAACATGTTCTTTCAGAAAATGTTTTCTTACATATGTATTCTGACTGGCAATGGGCTTATACAACAGTCAACCTGGAGCAAATTCTTCTGTGCTAGCAACAAGAAATTGCAGTGCACAGTTGTTATCATCAGGTCTGGAAATATACAAAAACATGGACAAATCACAGCCACTGACGCCTTTGTCTCACCCTGGCCTGAAATGCTTTTCTAAAACCTTCTGGAGTGGCCTGTTTGCCTATTTTAGGGGCCTGGGTCAAAAGTCAGAAATTTAATTCAGGGTTCTCTCTCTGACAGCAGCTTTCTAGCATGCACTGTATTTAAATGGCAGCCCCAAATCACTTTGGGCAACTATACACGTGCAGCAAGGCTGCTCCAATGCACTGAAATTATAGCACGTCAGAGCAGACTTGATTAATCAAGTCTGCTGGAATGTGGTAATGACTAAGGGTGTGCGAAGCGGGCTCTATTCAACTCGGATTCGGCCCAAATCAGAGACACTGTCCCTGATTCACTTCAGCTGAATCCGAATCTGAAGATTTGATGCTGATTCGGAGAATCAGCAATTCAGCCACAGACACAGCTTTAAATGTTTTTTCTACATACCTTGAGGTACCAGTGCAGCTCGTGAATGCTGAGATGCTGGGTCAGATGGAGGGTGGGAGGGCCCTCCACGTGCTCGGCAGTGAACCCAGAAGTGGACCAGAAGTACTTCCGGTCCACTTCTGGGACTGCCAGAGAGTGCACTGGGGGGCCCCTCACAGACTGAGGAGGCACCAGTCACTGAGCTGAGGGGCTGCAGGGGGGCCCCCGGGCACTCCCTGGCAGACCTGGAAGTGGACCAGAAGTGCTTCTGGTCACTTCCAGGTCTGCTGCTGAGCACGCTGGGGAGCTCCCCGTGCTTCTGTTGGATGCTCCATGCGCCCCAGCATCACAGCATTCATGAGCTGCACTGGTACCTCAAGGTATATAGAAAAAACATTTAAAGCTGTCTCTATGTCCGAATGTCCGAATCTCTCCGAATCGTTTTGGAGGGTTCCAACTCGATTCGGAGAGATTAAAGGGTCCTCTGATTTGATTTGGATTTGGAGATTCGGCCACCGAATCGGGCTGAATCTCTGCCGAACTGAATCAGGGACTGAAGCTTCCTGCAGCCCTAGTAATTACCACGCTGCAGCAGACTCCAGCATCATGTGTATCAGCATCCCTGCACTGAGAAATGGCATTGGGGGCGCTTTAACTAAAGCTTGTTTGACTAGCTTTAGTTAAAGCACCCCTACCACCAGTGCAGGGACACTGATACACATAATGTTTCGGATGCTTTAATAAGAGTGGCTCTCGGAGTGTATTCTATTACTGCCTTCATAAAGGACTTCAATAAGACTTTAGCTGCCCTTCTCTAGCACATGATTTTCTGTTATGTAAGCCATGAAAAACCTTTCAGATATATCTGTAAGTTACATTTACATACTTTGCACTTACCCTTCTCTTTGGTACTCCTCATCCAAATTTGACAAGAGCTGGGACCCTGCCACAGATAGATCGAGTGCAGCTAGTGGTAAATCTCGATAAGCAAAGTTAACAAGTTGCACAGGAGCTATACTTTTGGTCTCCTCTTCTACTTGTTGCGAGATTATCTCAACTTCTGAAATTCCACCTTCTATTGCGGGCCTAAAAATAAATAAGCAATGCAAAAACATAAGCACTGAGGAACAGGAAACTTCCACAAGTAGCAACACTAAAAATGTACATACAACAAAGCTTCATTGCTAGTTTACAGACATCGTTTTTGACAATTCCTATGGAAAAGTGTTATGTGAGGCCAAAATCTACCATGTCTTGTCAATGAAGTTAACAGAAACTTCACAATCACAAAAGGACAAAAAATGTGACGCAGAGGGGCTAAGGTTGTTTGTGAACATAAAACATGAACTGATACATTAATGCAAACATACTGAAAAACAAATTATGAACTGTATAGCAAGGTACACCTTCAGAACAGTACAGCAATCAATGCAAAGAATGCATGTATCTACATCAATTAAAAACTCACCTTTCTGAGCTCAGGTCAGTGATCAATGGTTAAGTTTTCTACTGACTAGTAGAGAAATCATTGTTAGTTAATATATAAATTATATCTTCCCTTTACTAGGTCTTGTCAGTCTAAAAATTGTTTTAAAAAACAGACATCTCTAGCCATACCCAATTAGAAAAAAAGAATGGCATGTTATTTGACCTTCAAGGAACACTATAAAGGAAGAACAAAGGAAAAAATATTATCTCTTTCTCTCTCTCTCAAAAGAAGCCCGGTCAATTTCTTCCCACCTAAACATATATGGAGAACTTATAAAACTGGGTATATATTTTCCTTTACCCCAAGTAAAATCAATGGGAACTTCACACCTATACGTTACATCTATTATAAGATAATACTTACTTAGAGGAAAGCAAGATATTGCCAATTACTTATTTTATAACTCTGCACCTCTAAGTAAGATATTACCAGTTACTTGGAAATATCTTTCCTCTAAGCAACTGTATGATATACTATACTGTTAGAGAAGTAGCTTTGTTAGGAGAAGAGGGATTGCAAGTCAAGTACTAGCAGGAATTCTTTCCATTTTCAGCAAACATGTCTTCTTTCCATTTGACTTCCCCTGGCCATGTCTACACAAGACACTGACTACGCAGTAGCCTAATAATACCGCGCAGCAGCTCATCGCAGTACAAACATTGTTAATACACTACTGCCCAGTAGGGCTGTGTGAAGCTTCGGTTGCTGATAAAATTCAGCAGAGATTCGGCCCGTTTCAGCAGTGGAATCTCTGAATACAAATCAAATTAGGAGACCCTTTAATTTCTCCAAATCAAATCAGAACCCTCCAAATCGATTTGGAGAGATTCAACAATTTGGACACAGACACAGCTTTCTATGTTTTTTCGACATACCTCAAGGTACCAGGCAGACCCCACTCCTGGCTCGGTGACTGGTGCCTCCCAGCGACTGGTGCCTCCGTGGTCTGGGGGGGGGCACCCGGGGTCCCCCCACAGCCGATTGCTGAGCTGGGGTGCTCCCCAGCGTGCTTGGCAGCAGACCTGGAAGTGGACTGGAAGCACTTCTGGTCCACTTCCAGGTTCACCGCTGAGTATGCGGGGTGCCCCCCTATGCTTCTGTGGGATGCTGCATCTTCCCTACCATTGCAGCATTCAAGAGCCACGAGGTTTGTAGAAAAAACTGTCTATGACCGAATCTCTGATTCTCCAAATCAGCAATGAATCTTCAGATTCGGATCTGGCTGAATCGAATCAGGACAGTGATCTGAATCAACGAATTGAATCACTGTCCCTCGAATCAGGCCGAATCCAAATTGAATACGGCCCATTTTGCACACCCCAACTGCCCAGTATTATTAGGCTACTGTGCAGTAGCATCACTAAAAAGCCATTTGCTGATGCTACAGCACAGTAACTCTGCTTACTGCATATTTATTATTTGATTATACAAGTACTAAATTAAATGCACAGTAACCACAGTAAGCTCAGCCATGCCCAACTCCCTCCCACCCTCACTATGGGGGCCTCAGTCCCCCCACACCAAGACTTACCTGCATGTAGCCGTGGGAGCTGCTTTCATGCTGCCCAGCTGCCATGTGCATGTGCGTGTGTGCAAGTGCACATGGCACCCCCTTCCTGATTGTACTCCTCCCACTGCAACCAGGCCCTTGCAGGCTGAAACTAGAAGGTGGTGCATGTACATACACATGGCTGCCAGGCAGCCTTGAGAGCAGCTCCTGCAGGTAAGTGGAGGTGGGGGATTGAGGCCCCCATAGGGAGGGAGGGAGTTGGGCAAGGCTGGAGCTGGGATTGCTGCCCAGCTGGGCAGTGCATGGGGCTTGGGGACCAAGGCTGCAATGCACGGCTGCAGGGCCCCAGCAGAGAGTGGGACAGGTCTGTGGGTGCCTCGTCCAGGGGTTGGGGTAGTGAGGCACCAGTAAGAGAATCTGCGATTTTTCATCAGAGAATTTGTGATTTTTTTAAATCAGGGAAAACCAGGATCCCTGCTAATTGGGGTCTGCAGACAACTGACCCATTTTTTCAACCCTTACTCAAAGGGTTAAATTATCTTCCCAGAAATACTGACACAACCTCCTTGGCATCACACTTTAGCACCATGGAAGTTTTTCACATTAGGATTTGACTCATTACATTTATAAAAGCATCTGAAATGGTACTTACTGGGGACTGGTCATGTTGGAAGAAACAAATAAAAAATCAGCTGTTGTTCCAGTATTTAGCTATTCAACTCCTCTGCAGATAATTTTTCACATTTCAAGGTGAGGTTTCTAAAAGAGAGAAAACAAGCTAATTTAGAACTCAGTTGCCCTTACATATCCTTATTAATATTTGTTTTCATATGATGTTCTTTGTACAGCAATATTATTTGCCATAAGCCATTCTCCTTTCTGTGGTGATTCCATTCTCAATTAAACCTTCTACAGCCCAAAAATTAGTAAATAACAATAATTATAATTAAAATTACAGGTCCAGATAAATAAATGTAAATAACACATTATAGGTCCAGGTTTAAACTGTTGGATAATTTAGAACGATAGAAAAGACATGGGCAGAGATTTTCAAAAGAGGATAAGGATTTAGAGCACAAGTCATAGGATTTATTTCTCTAGGTACTAGATAGATCTGTATGTTTAAGAATATCACTTAAAACTAAGGAGAGACTTTCTGAAGTGGCCAAGGAATTTAGAAGCATGAGTCTCACTGACTTCTATGGTTTTTGCTAAATCTCTTACCTATTGGAGAAAGTCTCTACCACTTTATCTTTATTCATCTTATACGTACTAGGTAAGTCAACAGAGAATTTACTTCTACAGCTCACTGATGAGTTTGGATAATGGACATTCTTTGTTCAAAGCCTGACCATCTATGTGATCTCCAGGGATTGAGATAGAAAAGCAAAACTGTATTGGACAAGCTTGCTAGAGGTAGACTAAGGACTGCTGGGAGCAGCTCATGAACCATGTTGCCAGCAAACACAAAATTTCAACCCTAACTTTAAGAAACAATTTAAAATACTTTAAAATGTCACTAAATGCTTTGAACAAAACAAGTCATTGTTCCTTTACGTTAAGGGCTTGGAAAAATGTAGTGTGGAGAATAGTGAATAAGGAATAAAAGTGAGGGTAAGTGATATAATGAGAAGCTTTTAAAAATATTATCAGGATCATTCAGTGAATATAATTAACTATAATCAAATTAAGAACACCACTTGTGAAAGACAAAAATACTCTTATTTTGATTAAATGAGTTACTGATAAACAGGGCAAAAAAACCCAACAGAAATGTATTATACTAACACTGAAAAAATGCTATTATTTTATTAAAACTAGAATGTCTCTCAAATCTTAAACTTTGCCTGAATTGATTACAACTTGGAACATTCAAATCAGTAAGGGTATCCCACGATACTTTTAAAAAAAATTCATACAATAAACTAAAAAAGGTTATAGCTACCATGTATTACAATGGCAACAGGACTCTTAGCTATCATTCGGTATCAAATAATTAGCCTAAGGTTACACTATTTGTATAGCAATTTCTAAATCTTTATTTCACATACTATAAACCTGTAACATTGTAAAAACCCATTCAAATCATTCTTAGATTGGCTATTATTGCTGAAGTATTCTAAAGCCTAAGGTACAAATCTTAATTGCATGCAAGTAGACCAACAGTAGTCAATAGATTTTTTTCACATAAAGGAAGCATGATTGGCTTCAATGCAGTAAATACATTTTAAAAAGAACATAGATGCTACATTGTTCTACAAGCTTACGGTATTGTAAACATCAGAGTAAAAATGGGCTTTGCTTGAGATAAACCTGCTCTGATGCACTGCAGACTTGATCCAATGCCCAGTTTTAAGCCAACAGGAATCATTTTGATGGCCTCAGTAGTCTGTGTATACTGATCAGGCTCCTGAAGCAGCAAAGCACTGTATGTACACACATCCTTAAAATAAATTAGATGGGGAAATTCCCAATGACTTCAATGGGATTTAAATATCTGCTTTACTAAAGTCTTACAGCTGGCACAAGGGAATTACTACCACAAATACAAATCAGTTTCCAATATAAAATCTTGCATTGCAAGGCTCTTAGCTTCCTAAAGATTCTTTGATATGATCTTTTTTACGAGGAAGTTTGATTAAAATCCGGTCATGACTGTTTTGAGTGCTAAGAGAATAAAAGAGACAGTTCTGTCTTTTGTGACTAGAGTATTTGAATAACTGAAACATTGATGACTGTAGCACTCGCCTAAATGATGCAAGGACTTCCTAGACCAGAAATGGTCAACTCAACCCCCAGCCTACAGACTAAATTCGGCTAGTGGAGCCATGGCACCTGGCCCACAGGGTTTCCCACAGGTCAGCAATCTGGTGGCAAGGAGCAGTGGCAATTAACATCACCACCTCTACCCTCCTGCCAAATTCCAAAGCCCCGTGCAGCCAGATTGACACTGGCTCATGGTCCCTTCCCATGCCCCCCCCTTTCCCTGAGTAGCCAAATCAGGCCTGGGCCACATCCCTTTCCCTCTGCATGGCTGGATTGGGGCCACCACACCTGCCCTGTGGCACACAAATTCAGGCCCACCAGTTGGATCCAGTCCGCAGAGGGACCAGGAACCACCCATGCAGCCTACAGAGCAAAAAGTTTGCACCGCTGTTCTAGATAAAATCATTGTCCCTACTCAAAAGAGTTTGCAGTTTTAAAAAGTATAACGTATCTCTCTTTTTTGTTTGCCACTGGTAAAATGCCTTTAAGATTTTGGGCACAGACTATTAACAGAAATTGGCATTGTACAGTTCTGAAAGCTTCCTTTTACCCTATATTTCCCCCCCTCCTATTATTGTTCGTTAGAATTCATCATGTCCATATTAACATAATAGCCCTAAAACATAAAAAATAAACAAAGATACAATACCAGTGTTGCTAGCTTTTATGGGGTTTTCTCTGCAAGTGAGCAATGGAATCCTGGCTGGGGCTGGAGCCAGCTGTTCAATGACATGAGAAGCTCCAATAATCCTCTAGCAAATTTTAGTGCTGCCAGGGGAGAGAGTGGGAGGGAAACCCTTCTGACTGCCCAACTTGCCTGCCTCTTGAGGTAGAACAAACAATTGGAAATGCTAAAAGAAGCAGGCAAAGCTCTTTTCGCCCTCCTCTTGGCAACCTGACATGATTCCTACAAGAAGAAGTGGCAGGGGTGTCAGAAAATGCTCAGCAGCTCCAAATGGCACTGCTTCCTCTTTCCATTTTGGGAGCAATGGAATAGCCTTTCTGCACCCCCTCCTGCTAGCACTCAGCCTGAGAAGGGGATAAAGCGATGGATAATGCACTCTTGAAGCTGCTCCCACCCTACCTGGATACAGGTGAAGACTCTACTGCAGCTGCTCCATCAGGCTAAGGAAAGAACAGGGTAGGGAGGGAACGGGGTATTGAGAACTGTAGAAGGAGCAAAGATGAGGCTGGAGGGGGCACAGCTGACATGGATGTTGGACGCAGGTAAAAGAGTTGGGTGCAGATCTGAAAGGTCCAGCAGCTGGGGCCAAAATCACCTCTCTGAACACATATGTGTTGATCCAAAAAAATCAAAACACAGATGAAAAAACAATATCATAATTTATAAAGGAAACCGCATCATTTGGGAGAGGGAGACTGACTCATGATTGTTTAAAAAACTTTTGGTTATTAGTATTGTAATTCCTCTTTTTTTCTTGCCCCTCCAGAAAATAAGTTCAGTCTTTATTAGACTTTGTAAAACTTGCAATTTGTCATGTTCATAAAGTATTCTGTTCCAGGCATAAGCAGGTTAGGTCTGTGGCAATTCAAAGAAATTTTATGCTAATCTCAGCACAAATACCAGGCTGGTTCCTTCTTTTTGGCACTGACAGCACTACAGGGAAAGGTATGTCTGCCAGTAGGGCTGAAAGGCGCAATTCAACGCTGTTCTGTAGCAAGTTACTCTCATAATACTGATGGTTCCTGAGGGAGCAGAATCCAGCTCTCCTTAGCCAAAGGGATAGTTTTATGACATGGACTCTGTGAAGCTACTATAAGTGAAGAGTAAAGCCACAGGCAGGTGGCAGAGGGAAGTCAAGTCTCCAAAGGAACCTTCTTGGGGTGGGAGAAAGTGGCAAAAGTATGCAAGTAGCAATTCAATTACTGAATTTAAAGGACAAATGATTATTTGTAGCAAATGGGCACCCCAGTTTAAAGCCCTCAAATTGGACATACAAGGCTGTGAGTATCCTAAATGAAATCTGATGATTCATGCTTCACTTACAGGAAGCCACCAGAACCCTCCCAATGTAAACCCTGATGTTTCCAGTAATTTATTTGTTGTCTTTTCCTTTTGTCTACAAGTAACATCCCAAGGCCTTCCTGCAAAACTTCCTCACAGCACTATAAAACACTTTGAAGTTCCATGGAGAATACCTGTAATTGAGCGCTGTTTAAATGTAACTTGGACCAGCAGGAGATTTCATTCCTCTGCTAATCTTTTGCTTACATTCCTAAAGGCAAAAACCACAGGCAAAAATCTGTGGTGCAGTCAGTCACCCTCCCCCCACTCTTCCCACAATGCTGTGACAATGGAGAGGAGGAGCGGCAGGGTACAGAGGTCATCCTGAGGATAGGGCTGGAACACCCCCAAGCAGCAAAGCTTTTCTGTGTACACCTCTCTCCATCTGTCCCATCCAGCACTCTGCAGACATGGATGGCTTGGCCTCTTCTACACTGACACATTCAGCTTCTCTCAAGAAAAATGAAAACTAGACATCAGATGGTGCGTACAGGCTTTCCACGTGAGTAGGAATGATGTCCATTTTATCACAGTTAATTATTGTTTTCATTCTGTGGGGTATTCAGGATTGGCAACAAGGGAAGATATAGGGGAAACATAGTTCCTCTGGTTAAAATAAACTGAATAAAAAGATATGATGAAAGGTTTCCCATCCAGGTTGCCAGTGTAGTATAAAAATGTAGAGATATTCCCTAGGCTGAAAGCACTAAAATATTATCTTGCATCTATTGAGAGAAGAATTGGAGCCAGGACACAGCTAAAATTTAATGGGAAACATGGCTGTCTGTCCAGCCTTCTGAACTCTATATACAGTTGAAGAAATCAGGTTTATGGGCTAAGTCTCTAGTTTTGAAATGCCTAGGCTCCCTGCAATCCCAGTTTCAAAGCTCAGTGGGGCTGACCTAGCACTTCATAATCCCATGCTATGTGAATCAAATTATATACAGTTTACTGCATGTCTTTCTAAGATGAGATCCTAAACTCCATATCACCTCTCCCTAGATATTATATGACATGCCCAATAGTAGATTTTTATAGATGTGGAGCAAAAGCCTGAGGCAGTCCCTCCGTCTATGTAAGGGTGGGCCAGATGGGGGTGGCAGTGCCCTAGTGCAGAAGAAGATACGCCTAATAGTGGGAACACTGGTTTAACATGGGGGTGATCAACAGCCCCTGAGTAAATGGTGGCAGTTGTGTCTCCTGACTTCCCAATGTCTATGCCCCTGCTATAGCACTAAAAGAGGGATCTGAGCTAGTGCCTTTACCAGAATTTCTTCCTGCCTGAGTTAATTTGCTTGTGTTTATATAGAGCATTGTATGTTAAGAACCATACAGTGCATTGACTGGCTGTATTTCAATGGGACTGTAAGCATATACCATAGCTTGAAAAGTGCTTTAGGATGAAAAATGATACCTACAAGTAAAGTGGATGGGTGAATATACTGCACACTAGACAGTAATTACAAAAATCAAATCAAGAGCAACCTCAAAAATCTATACCCTGAAACTTCTGTATTATAAACAGGATTTATTTTTAAGTCTTACCATATCTACACAGCAATAACATACTATGCATGCACTGAAGATTAAAGATGGGGTGGGGGGAGAGAAGAAGCAAGGAAAAACAGTTTAAACATTCTGGGCCAAAGTCTGTGCTGACTTGTACTCTGTGCAACTGAGCTGAGGTCACTGTATATCAGGAGAACCCAAATGGAAGTTAATTGTTTTCATGTATTAATTCACACACTCATAAAAGTACATACAGCTCTAGTTTCCTGTACAAAAAGATATACACAAAAGCTGAAAATAAAAAACAGAACTAGATCCCTGGTTAAAGCAAACTCATTACCCAATAACATTTAACTTCTTCCTCCCACCACCTCCCAGCCCTTCACACACCACCTCAACAAAAGCTTGGGAAAATGGATAAGCCTTGCAGCACACACACTGAGTCAATAAATTTAGGCAATATTAACAGAGATTTGAAGTGAATGCCAGAACAGCAAAAGGTTGTTTCACAGAAGCTAAAAAATGGAAAAAATCCTATGCAGGTCTGAAACAGTCACTGAATACAGCCTATATTGAATAATTTTTTAACATGGAATATAAGGTTCCTGTTCAATCCCTGAATAACATTGCTTTCTCTTCTAAAGTTAGAAGGAAGGTGATTGGAACATTAAAGTTTTCATTATCCCTAGTGGAAAATTATAACAAAGTTATGGAGCTTCTCAAGAGAAGAGAAACGGACAGAATGATATGAAATTTGAAAAAGTTATAAGAGCATAAGAACTACAATTTACTAGGTCAGAGCATAAGTCCATCTTGCCCAGGATCCTGGGTCACACAGTGGTAGAGAGTGGATACTGAAAGAGAGAGTGAACAGGGTCTGACAAGGGTTTTTTCTTGCAGCCTCCAGCATTTAAAGTCTAGGAAGTTCAAATTCAGATGTTGTATCCCTAACTCCCGTGCCCCTTTCTTCTAAGAATTTGTCCAATACTATATTTACCCAAATCCAAGACAACTTTGAATTTAAGATGACCCCAATTATTAGACTGATATATGGAAATTTATAAATTAGATTTATACATTATTCAGATAAAACTTATAAATTTGTTACAATTTTTCATATATAACACCTAATTATTGAGGGTCATCTTAAATTTGTTCCTCCCACCACTGCAGTGGGGAAAGCAGCAGCAAGAAGAAAAGCAGCAGCAGAGGGGGCAGAGAGTCTGACCCGTGTCCCTTGCCCTCCTGCACCTTCCCCCCTGCTGTTGCCTGTCCCCCCCCCACCACTTCCTCCTCTGGTGCCTTCCCCCTTCCCCCCAGTTGGGCAGGGGTCAGAACCACAATATACTCTTTGCCCCCCAGCTGGAGCAGGACCAGAGTCAGCACCAGATCTGGAGTTGTGACTGAGGGTAAGTGCCATTACGGGTTGTAGGGAGGGAAGAGGGAAAGGTGGCAGGAGGGTCCAGGTATGGGAGAGGCACAGGTGGCATGAAACAGGCAGGTGGCAGAGGCTGCAGCTCTGACCCTGAGCCTGAACCCTGGCCATGGCCAGAACTGGAATGACAGCAGCCACCTGCCCTCCCACCTGGTTCTTGAATCCAAGAAGGAGAATCCAAGGGGCTCCCCCTACCATGTTGAATGGGGAAAGGGCTCATCTTACATTCGAGTCAAAATGGTAGTGAGTAGTCATTTAGTATTATCTTCTGAGATCCTTCAAAAAAAGGAACATGACTTCTGCTAGAAGGAAAAATAAGTATGTCAAAAAACTTTCATAATCAGGAACATAGAAAGCAGCTGATTAAAAAAAATTAAGAAAGATTCTCACGATCAAGATCTTTGTGTATGGACAGGAAGAGTTTAGTCAGCTGTATTAGTACAAACTATGTACTGTATTTTCTCCCATTTGAGACACCCCAGAATAAGGTACACGCCTTGTTTTGGAAGGGCAGAATGAAGAAAAAAGGATTTTTCCAGAGCTATGGTTGCATATTGGGGACAGAGCCTAATCCTCAGCTGACTCACCCTTCCTTTCCTGCATAGCTAAATCTGAATGCCTAGCTGCTGCTAAACACTAGTCTACATGGGTGGATCTAAGATTCTGAAAAGATCTAAACTAAGAATCTGTGCTAAACAGCGAAAGAGTCTGAGTTAAAGAGTCTGTGAAAGAGTCTAGGAGTAGCTAGCAAATAGCAAAATTGTCATAAGATTAGCTTGATTAGTGGAAGTCAAGACCATAAAAAAGGAGAGGCCATCATTAACATTTGTAGAGTAAAGAAAAATGAGCCACTATGCCAACTGCCAGTTGCCTGAGCAGTAACACTGCAGCTGCTGCACTCTACAACAGGAATCAAACCAGGCTGCTTCCAACCCCTTGCAGAAAATCAGTTTTTCTACTTAATCAGCAGATTCTCCCTGTGCCTGAAGAAAGGTGTCTGCCCAAAAGTTTGCAGAGAACAATTTTTCCAACTATTCAGTTGGTCTAATTAAAGATATCACATTTACCCAAATAACCTTGTCTGCCTTCTCTACATAATACATGCACCTCTTTTGTTTCCCAGGGGGGCAGAGTTTATTTTGAGGGAAAGGTGCATGTTGTTTGTGAGAAAATACTTTACTAAAACATGAAACTATATTGCCTGAAGTGAAAAAAGGCTGGGAACTCCAGATGCCATCTGATTTACTCTCTTACAGCCAGCCTTCTCAGCCTGTCTACCATTTTTTTTAAGTTTTAAAAGAGGGGGTTTCAACTTTTTTAGTCTAAGTAGCCCCGGTGGCTGGATGCCAAGCAGGGGAAGGGGTAAGCATGCAGCTGGATGCCAAGCAGGGGGCGGGAGGGGTGTTACGCAGCCGGACATGGAGCAGGGCAGCAGGGACGGTTTGCGGCCAGGTGGGGGCAGAGCACTGCTGCCGCCTCCCAGGCGCAGGGCCAGGGTCAGGCAGGGAAGCTCAGGCTGGGGTGAGGGCAGCGGTACCCCTCTACAGGGCGGGGAAGCTCACTGGGCTGGTGTGTGACAGTGGTGGTGGCTGCAATGGTTCCCTGCCCCGCAGAGGGGTGCTGCTGCCCTCGTCCTGCCCAGCCCTGCTCCTGGGAGGCGGCAGCACTCCGTCCCCACCCGCCCATACGTACCCGCTAGGACCAGTCCATGTACCTTCAGGGGTATGTGTACCCCCGGTTGACAACCCCCATTTTAAAACATCCATAGCTGGAAATATTTGCCACATTAAAAAAAAGTTTTTAATCTTGTATCTGTGCTTAACTGTCAGCCTCTCTTGCGGCAAAATACTATTCTAGAGGGTATATGAAAAATGTTTTCTAAAGACAATTGGGAGCCTAAATTTCTGAAGTGAATCCCTGAGAATCCCCACTGATATATGAATCAGCGCTGTCCTGCTGGCATTCACCAGCCAGGAATAACACGAGTCCAGTTTATAAGCTATGGACTGAAACTCCTCCAGCGTTTCACTGAGCTATGATAACCATGGCTCAAGTGGAGAACACTTAGAATTTGTGTATAGGGTCTAGATAGTATTTTGCCACAAGAGAGGTTGACACTTCAGCACAGATCCAAGTAACGTAAAATGAGACATCCTCACAGCAGTAAAAATTCAAATGCATTACTGAGAGATGACTAGTTTTAAGCAAGCTGTTCACTGCTTCCAACAGTTTTGCTGTTTCATACTTTGCTGGTGCTATGGTGGGACCCCTCCAAGCCCCATCCTAGTACCTCCTAGGCACATAGTTTAACATTTAAAATATCTTTTCTGTTGCTGTTGGTTAGGCTTGACATAAAACTCTCACAGCATCTAGTAAAGCATGCTTCATTTCATGAAAGCTTGTGATATATAGACATATACATACATGTATCATATATATGTATATGTGATACACACGCACACAAACAAAATCTACTTTGGTTACTCTATATAAGGTGCACATCTACCCTGCTTTCTATAAAACTTGCACCATAAGAGTTCTAATAAAAATATTTCTTA